ACCTTATTTAACTAATATTTGACACAGAGGAGACTGTCTTCCACTTACCACATTATGGAAGAAAATATACATTACCTTTACATAGCTCTGTAATATCATGCAATGACTATTCACATTCTCAGACTCAGACTCAGGGAATTCACTTATAGATACTCCACAAAATTCAATCATTTCAACAATTTATTTATTTCTGAAGTATATCTCAACTACAAAATTCCAGATAAGCAGTAGATTGCAGCCAAGACTTTAACTCCTTGCTGCGATCTATAGAAAATAGGCTAAAGTAGGCTTGGGCTGTGTTAGATACACTTACATGTTGACAGTCAATTTTCAATTTGGAAAAATTATACATATGTAACCAAGAATGCTACACACCTTGATATGTTTCCCGGATAAAAATCCCAGATTGTTCAGGCAGCAATGACATCTGCACCAACCAAATGAAGGTGACCATTACATCACAACCAAGAGGGATGTTGCTTTTTGTTGCCATAAGTGCCCATTAGGCCACTTGGTTGATACTCCCAGCTTTTCACATGGTTGGTGACATTCAGAATTCTGGTGGGGAAAACCAACCACTGTCTTTACAATGTTACACCATACAGCTATACAGATGCATGATAAGACTACGCATGAGGCAGCAAGATTTAGAGAGATAAGAATTTTTCCTGATTACAAGACAGCAGGAAAGTAACAAAAGCCGCTGTGTGGATAAGTCCACACACTGCAACGTACTGTATTTTGACTGCTTTGTGCCCACTTAGTTCTTTGAAAGTTGTAAGAACAAATTGATGGATGTCATCTTCTTTTGAATGACTCCCGTGAAGTCTTGCAAATTTGCACACTTAGAATTGACTATTTTAGAGGATAGAGGGGGTGACAACATTTTAGAAACACAGTATGGATGCTGTTTTTAAAAGTTTTATTTGGGATAGTTCCTGAATTTCCTTCCTGTTTTATTTCCAAAATCAGAAATACATGTTTGCTATAAATATAATGCAAAACTCAGATTTTTAGGAAAAAAACTCTGCTTAAAGAAAGAGTAACATGGCCTATCTTAAGCAACCTATTTTGTGTGACTGGAAAGGACAGAAAGTTACTTAATGCATTAATATTTTTTAACCATTAGAATGAAAAGAAGTGCTTTTGGAACTATGTATGTTGATTTACATATGAGGGATATACATTTTCTCCTCTGATTCAGGTGAGAAAATAACTTGATCAAGTTGAAATACTCAGCTATAAAGATCAACTGTAAGAGCTGATATCCAACAAAACCAGAAGGTTCCCAGCTGGAAAAGGGTGATTTGGTGGTTTTATTTATTTTCAGAATATCTGCTTTCTAGGTACTTTATGTGTTCATAAAGTAAAAATACATATACTATGTTTTGTTAGTGACAACATAATAGTCTTCTATTCTTTATTGACATAACTTTTACCTATTTCCAGATTGAAGTGGGATTGGATTATTTTCTGCCATAGTAGTTTTCTTTGTATTTTCTGAAATTTGTTACTAATGAATTTGTAAGGGTGAAAATTCTAAAATGCAGGTTGCCTAATAATTTGAAATTATTTTACTTTCCAGTGGACAAAAATATCCCTGCTTCTATTACACTACGGTACTCATTTACAATAGTTGATAGATCAGTTTTCCAAAGAGGGCAAATATGTATGAATAAGAAGAATCAAAGATATTTAAAGTAAAATACTGCACATTGATTAGCTAAAGAGTGAAATTTTATTTTCAGCTTGAAGATCCCCAAATTTTACATGTCTGTTCTCGGTTTTACTCTCTACTGCAGCAAAATCAGCACTATTAACAACTCTGCAACAAGAATGTGTTGCAAATCTATCCACCAAAGTATATTCAATTATTGGTGCACTATAATATAAATAAAGTATAGCTTTTCTGTCAATTTGATTGCTAACATAAGCTTCATTTCACATTGATAGCAAATAATACTTTCCTAAAAAGTCATTCAATCCACCCACAGTAAAATACAACAGCAGTCAACCACATCTAAAGAACAGCTGGCTCTTTAGTTGAAGTTTACTTTTCATAACGCATTCTTTCCATCCAAAAAAGGAGGACGAGAGAAAAAGAAACTATTCCAATGCAATTTGTTTTATTCCATTAATTGTTTTCTCTATGTTTTGCCTCTCTTTACTTTTGCTTTTCTGAGGCATACATTATTTTGTAATGTCTACATTATTTCATTTGGAATGATCTAAATTGTCTAGGAAAACAGCCAGAAGAACAAGAAGTTAAAATTGATACCGGTTACCTGCCAAATTATACAAATTTATCCTACTAGATGGAATCACACAGTTGTATCAGCTGTGAGAGAACACTTTGGGCTGAGCAGAAGTGTGTCTGGTTTTCTCAGCTCTACCCCACTAGAATTAATAAATCTGCTATTCAGCCATGACTTTTTCACCTGTTCAAAATACTACTTAAAGTAGCATAGTATTAAAAGACTGAAGTTGGCATTTTTTCCTAGTTTATAACTATTTTGTTTTGATTTATTTTAAATTTGTTTTTTTAAAAAAGAATATTCTCTTGGCCTCATTTATTTATGAACTCAAATTCATATCTTTATAAGATGTACCTGGAAAACTTACAACTATAACAAGATTTTGACGAAAGACAGCATGTGCATAGTAGACATGATTAAAACAGAATTTTCTTAAAATAAAAAGTGTTCATGAAAACAAAATGAGTGCACCATTCTCTAGACCTTCACTGAGTGACTATTCCTAATAAGAATAATAAAATTATGAAGTGATAGAACAAGGAGTAATGGTTTTCAAATAAGTTGTGAGAGATTATGATGTGGTAAATCTTGGGGAGCTAAGCATAACAAAGAATAATAAAGGAAATATGAAATACTTCTTGGCTGTGAGTATTTGGGAACCTTCAAAAGGGAATGATCTTTATTAACCTTGGGATATAGTGCAGTAATTATGTTTCCTGATACTACATTGAGTTATTCCATTTCTTTCAGGTCAAATTATATAGTTACTGATTAGATGACCAAATGATTGGCTAGAAAATCTAAGAACCTTGTAGAATGTGCTTAAAAACTGGAGTTTGGAATGGAGAGTGTAGCAAAGGGGATAGAAAGGAAGAGGAACAATAAGGAAAGGAAATAGAGAAGCTACCTAAATGTGTTTGGGTGAATGTACGTATAAGCAGGAGAATGAGAATGATTGCATGAAACTCCAGTTCTGTTCTGTAACATGTGATGCTTCTAAATTCTTCTCTGAAGATCACATCAAATTTAAAGTTTAATGAGACACAGCTTCATAGCTTCATATTGGAGTAGAAAGCTATGAATTTGATTGTCTAATCAATGGTAAGTCCCATTTCTTTTAGAATCTGGTATATATAGTAGGTATACAGCTTGGGTTGTTCAGTTTTGGGGTAGAATGTGGGTTGTTCAGATTTTGGGTAGAATGTGGAGTGTCTCCAGTCACTGTGGTATGTAATATATTTGAAGCAGAATAATATTTGTCTTTGGAAAATTATAGTTGCCAAAGCTACTTTTTGGAGATGTTTGGGTGCAGTGGCATCTCAATTTTAGGCTTTATTTCAAGGATTGATTTCCAAACCAGTTACATTAAGAATTAAGTTGAACAAGATTCAACACATAATTAGACCAGACAAAATCATATATTGTTGTTAGACAAATGTTCACCTATGAATCTAACTGCTTATAATATATTGGATTGGGTTGATGCTATGACTTAGAGTAAATATTTGGTATATGTGGGGTTGTTTTTTCTGGCCCAAATGTTTATATTTTGTAAAAGCCAATATAAACTTAGGTATATTAGTGAATACTCATCTTAGCAGCTAGAAGACTTCACCTCAACTGCCCAATGGGCATAGAATTATTTGTAGTATGTTGAAGTTAGGTAATGCTAAACTGTCATAAAACCTGTGTAATTTTTTTTCATGGGCTATGTTCTGACCCAAACCCTTTTCCAATAAAATAAACAATAACCAAAGGGAACAGAACCTTTTAATGAGTCTTAGGAATGCCCGATTAAAAGGCTGCTGCAAGCTAATTAACTTTGATAAGCACAAACCTCATCAAAACTGTGTGAGACTGCCAAGAATCACAGATGATAAATATTTCACAACACAAGAGTCTTCAAATACCAACTAAGATACTGCAATGTCCATGAGGCTGGAGTTTCAAAACGTTTTTGCTTCCTACAAAGAATGTTTGATTCACAGCTGGCTTTTATCTTCTTGAAGGAGGGGCCATTACCTTGCAGCCTTACTCCTGAGTCACCCGTGCTGCTGCAGCTGTTCTTTCCTACAAGCTGCCCTGCGTGCACGTGCACTTGGCACAGGCTCCTCGGGAACCTCCTCATCGCTGCTGCCAGCCTCCACAACCTCTGAAGGCAGCAGTCCACTCCCTAATGGTCCTGGCTCCTCATCTGAGTCCTTGCTCTCCTCAGCCGTCTGCACCTGGCTGCCGGCTAACCATAACAGGCTAGTCACTGTTATAACACTGCTGTTAAAATGAGATTATTGTGGGCCACTCAGTGGAAACCGGTTAGGAATCAAAACTAGATTAACTAATTCTGTTTTATTGTGAACTTATATTAATAGAATATTGCAAGTCTGAAAATACAGTCCTTTCCATTGATTCCTTTATAACCCAAAACTAGGGAGGGTCTCTTCTGAACATCTTACCCTCCCCTTTACCCACTTTCCAGCTTTGCTGTTTCTTACCTGACCATTCCCTTGGCAGTGTCTCTTTGCCAGAGTCCCAAAGTCTTTTCCATGTACCACTACACTTGTACAATGTGAGATTGTTTTCTGAGCACAAAAGAAGTAAAACAGACTCATTTTTCATTTTAGAAATAGTTCTGTCAGCAGAACTTTTGTATAGTGCGTTGTTTATATCTGAATAAGATTCATTCAGCTCCAGTTCCTTTTCCGCCAGATTTCCTATTTTCAACATCTTTTTCTTCTTTCATTTCAGCCAAACCCTTTGAAAATGGACAATACTTGGACATCTATGGAATTACAAGAGACCAAGCTGGGGAGTATGAATGTAATGCTGAAAATGATGTCTCAGTTCCAGATGTGAAAAAAGTAAAAGTCACAGTAAACTGTAAGTCATGATTATTATTTTTTAATGAATCATTAACTACATTGTGATTTTAGAAGCAAAAAGCAGTTGTCAATAAATGATTAAATGTAATGTAAATTCTGTATAAAAATTACACTAGATGAGAAGCATAGCAACAGGCTCTGCCCACAACTTGTATGTCTTCTGGAGAAGGTCACTGAACTTTTGTACCAGAAACTCTTGGCAGTTCTTACAATAATGAGCATGCGTTATTCCCAGCCATCTCAAATTTCCATAAAACATGGCCATTACATGACAGAAAGCCTAAAATTAATGAAGACTGTGAGAACCTCATTCTCCACTGAAAAGGTCTTACCAAAACGATATCTTTGGGGCTAATGTTTATGTGTGTATGTTATGTATACATACATACATACATACATACATACATACATACATACATACATACATACATACTCTCTTTCTGTGTGTGTGTGTGTGTGTGTGTAAAGAAATTAAACAAGGAAAAATATGTTAACCTTTGAAATTCAGTTACATAACATATTATAATATGTTTCCCTAATAACAAATTCAAACTTTCTGGAGATTTTTTTCATTTATAAAAAAAGGAAATTATAATAAATAAAACCATACTGTACTTTATTTAGACTGACTTATATTTTCTTCGTTTCATGCTTTTGCAAAATTCTAAAGTCTATGTCTGTGATAGTTTCAGCAACAAAATTGTTTTGAGTTGTTACGTATTAAAATTAGACTTGAGTAAACAAACAAACCCTCAACTCAGTTTTAAATGATAAATGTTGTGACAGTGAGTTTTTGAGGAGATGAAGAAAATTTACAGTTATCTTAGTGGCCATTCCTTCTCACACATGTAATATCTTTCAAGTTATAATTGTGTTTATGTACTCTTACATATGCATATACAAATAGTTCTCTATTATACTTAATATTAATATACCACTAATTTAATATTTCAGGAAAAATGCAGTAGAAAAATTGTAGTTCTTATGATAGGCCGGTGTTTCTCAATCTTGGAAACTATCAGATGTGTGGACTTCAATTCCCAGAATTCTCCAGCCAGCAGATACTGCCCTAAGAGAAATACATCCCCATATTGCCAAAAGAAATACTGGTACTTAAGAAGACACATTCTGTCTTGAATCAGGAGACTGGTAGCACCTTTTCAGACTAATAATTAAATAAGATTAAAGCTACAATGTTCTACAGAACATTGTAGAACAGTGTGGTAGATAGATAATTTAGATTGATGAGGAATGAGGTGGGGAGATGAAATGGTTATGCCAATGCAAGTTATATTGCAAATACCATATTAATTTATAATTTAAAAAACCATTGTTTTTTACAAAACTTCTGAAATCTCCTGGTGTATGTCATTTCTTCAATCTTTACTCAGTTCTGTTGGTAGAGCTTTTTGTTCCAAAACAGCTACTTTGATGTACTTTAGGAATTCTAGGAATTGAAGTCCACACATCTTAAAGTAACCAAAGTTGAGAAACACCTGTCACAATATTCTTGATCATAATTGCAAAACTCAGAACAAGTTTTTGTTTTATCATTTTGAGGTAGAAAATGGGGAAGCTGCAGCTTTGGTCCTAAAATAAGGAGGCTTGGTACTTTTTTTTTAAAAAAAAAAAATAGAACTCCCCCACTCTCTACAACTTTCAAAAATTCCGAAAAATGTGGCTCTATACGTATGCTTGAAAAATGCCAGTTTTGCATCAGTTAATTCATCTATTGACATGGTAAATCTAGAAGTTGATGTGGGCATCTTCTTGTCATTTGTTTGCCTGTTAGGCAAGCTACTCCAATTTACTTGGCTTTGACACTACCTCCAAGGCATGATCCTATATTAACATATTTGCTAGAGAGAGTTTTTTTCTTTAGTAGAAGTATGATTTAAATAAATAAAAAATACCTGAGGCATTTATGTGCTTTCCCCACCAAAACAAAATAAAGCCTCATCAGTAGGACTCTTTTGACTTTAAAAGGTGGAGTTTCAGCATAATGCATTGTTCACCTTCACACGCTTTTTTTTTAATGTGCAAGGATTTCTTCCTCTCAATGGGAAACATTCAGATATGTAATCCCCTTCTATGTATATTCCCAGCTCTTGAATAATCTAAAATGTGCTCCAAAAAAAATAGGACAATATTCACTGATCTCTTAGTTTTTTTTAAACTGACTTTAACATATAGCTCGGTAAGCCTTATCTGCATGTCTTGTGAGCCTGTCATACTACTAGCAATATATTGCCAATGAGGTTTCAACCAGCTATTGCCTCTAGCTAGATTAGGAATATCAGAATTCTTCCTGGGCTGCCCAGAGCTGCCTCATTATATCAGTTTCCACTTTCTGTCTGCTTAGGAATAAGTATATATGTGTAAACTGTATATAGCACATATACTTTATGTACTCGGACATAACTTTAACTTTCATTAGAAAAATGAATTCTATTTGAAATCCAACAACATTACTAGTTTGGCATCCCCCTAGATCTTGTATAACAGGGGTGTCAAACTCAATTTCATTGATGGCCACATCAGGGTTGTGTTTAACCTTGGGGGGCTGTGGTGGGTGTGGCCAGCTTGACATTATTTGTGTCAGGGTGCCAGTGGCCTAAGCACTTTGCCAGCAGAAATGGACTCCTGAATTCCATTTTTTGGTTGGGATGGCCTCCTGCAATCCTCTGCCAGCAAAAATGGAGCTCAGGAGGGTCATATGTGGCCCTTGTGAGCTCTGTTTTCAGCTACGACAGCCTTCTGCAACCGTCTTCCAGAAAAAAACAGAACTCAGGAGGGCTGCGTATTCTCCTAGCGAGCTCTGTTTTTGGCTGGGACAACCTCTTGCAACCCTCTGCCAGTGAAAATGGAGTTAGGGATGGCTGCGCATGGCCCTCGTGAGCTCTGCTTTCAGCTGGGATGACTCTCTGCCAGCAAAAAGCGTGGCTCTCCCATGCTCCACTTTTGCTGACAGATGCATCACGATCTGTTTCCAGGGCCAGATCAGGCATGATATTCCGCTCTGAAAAAAAAATCGGGGCCGGCCAAAAGAGACCCCCTGCCGCGCGCCCGCTGCTTTCCCTCGCCAGGGCCGGGCGGTGGCGTGTTGCACGGAGGCTGGTCTGTGGCTGGCCCAGCTCCCTTTTCCTGCCACTCAGCGGCCTCCACTCGCACCGCCCGGGCTCCGCTCAGGTATCCGGCTGGGGCTGTCAGGAGTTGCTACCGCCGGCGCAGCTCCACGCGGCTCCAGTCCCACGTTGCCTCGGGAAGGGAAAGGCAAAACCAGGAGCCGCTGCTGCCGTTGCAAAGCGCCACCACGGCTCTTCCTTTTTGCCTTTCCCTTCCTGAGGCAACGCGGGACTGGAGCCGCGGGGAGCCGCGCCAGCAACTCCTGACTCGGGGCCTCCGAGGGGAGGGGAAGGAGGAGAAGAAGGGGTGGGGGGAAAGGGGGGGCGATTCCCAAAAAAAATAGGAATTCCGATTTTAATCGGAAGAATATCATGCCTTAGATCAGCACCATGTGAACTGGATCCAGCTCCTGGCCTGGAGTTTGACATCCCTGTTCTATAATGCAATTTTAGAACCTGAATACTTTTGATTATCACAAGGTATGGATTAATATAAAATATGCCCTACTTTGAACATTCCATCAATATTTTGCTGGCCATTTAGAAGTAGAATAATGGGCTATGCTGTGTATAATACAGTGCTTTTCATTCTTGCTTGAAACATTCACATATAGTTTACAAGATAAATGGCTTGTGGTAGATAAACTAATCTCAAACTTCCTAAAGCAGTCCAAAATTCCATAATAATTTAATTCTCCAGTGAAGCAAAACAGAACCTTTTTTAATGCAGTTCATATAAACTTGACTTTCAGATCTGTCCAACTCTTTGCAAGGATAAAGGAAACAAGATAGCATCCTGGTTTAAACTGCACTATATCAATCCTTCCATTTCATCTATGGTTCTTTCTTTTTCTAATATTGGAAATCCCACGTAGAATATCAGAGAAATCTCATAAAAGCATAGCACTTTGTGAGACCAAGCTATGTATTTGAACTACAGTACATTGTTACTTACATATATCACAGGTCATCTGACACTAGAGAGTAAAGGTTACTGCCTTTCCTGCCAGATGAAAGGAAGATTTTTGTGTAAACTGTTGTATTATCAAGGGTAAAAAGTCCAACTTGGAGAAAGATCATGATCCCTTGGTTTTTGATGTGAAAATTTTGTATCATTTACCACTCCACTGCCTTTGGATATATTGAACAGGATTCGGGGGAGGGAAGTTTCCCAATATTGCTGTAAATCCGAGGTAGCTGCCCCAAAATCAATGACATTACATCAGATTTATGGTAGCATTGCAAAGTGCAATTTGTCCTAATGGCCTTGGCTCTACAATTATAATTAAAGTAGCTGTAAATGTTGATAGATGGTGGAAGGTGTACGTGCAAGCCTACTTGATTCACTGATGAAATTTCAACAAACTGCAACTCTTGCAAGAGAGACTTTGTGATCTCTATATCATGCAAATCACCATATGCCTGGCAAGAGAGTTAACTCATCAAGATATAACAACCATTGCACTCACCAGATGTGTGTTTAACAAAACAGCTGCAGGCTGGAAGCTGCTTAGAGTCAGAGAAATGATTTATGGGTGTGTCTGCATTTTAATTTTCAATGAATATATATGTTAATGTTCGAAAACAAATTCTCATAATGTCCTAATCTACTTTGTTGTTTTCATTGCATCTAATTTTGAAGTCATTTTGCTAACACTTGGAGTGTGTGAGGGAAATAGTATATTTAGCCTCTGCTTAAACTGCCTGTTTTCCAATGCAGTACATATTTTCTATAAATAAGGAAAGAGATTTACTCACGCAGGTTTTGGAAAGAAAAGATGGTTTGTACATTTCTTTAAATGTTCTTCCTTGCAAAATAAGGATGTAGAAAGGTTCTTGAATTGTAATTTGAGTGGGGAAGTGGATACTGAGC